AGCGTAGTTCAAGGCATCATTTGCATTATCTCAAAGCATTGTGAGTATTCACGACTCCCCCTGTTTTTGGTTTTTGTGTTTTGGGGTGGAAAAGCATGTCCGAAAAAAACTATTTATTGTTCGTTGTATTTAAATTTATTTGTATCAAACTTGATTGCAATATTTTGCTATGTATGTTTCTGCAACTTGAAACATGAGGCCTTATTGTCTTAAGTCCCTTCCACTTTACTCCAACCATTAACTCTTTGAGTCAATGGTCATTATGGATAGCGCTATTAGGAAATGAAAACTCCTCACTCGCCCGATTGCTTGAGTGCATGATACCATTGTTTGCTCATATACATACGAAACTAGCTTACTTATTGTAGCAATAAACTTTGTTTCTCATTATAACAACAAACTTTTATTACTGGAAACTTGTTTACTTGTCTTAACAATGAACTTCTTTGCTCTTTGTAGCAACAAACTTGTTTACTTTTTGTAGTAATGAACTTGTTTGTTCTTTGTAGCAACCAACTTGTTTGCTCTTTGTTGCAGTGAACATGTCTACTCATTTGAGCAACGAACTTTGTTTCTCATAATAGCAACAAACTTCTATTTATGGAAACTTTATTACTCGTTTTAGCGACGAACTTCTATTCATGAAAAGTTATTTACTTATTTTATAAATGAACATTTCTTTAGGGAAACTGTTATCAATATTCCGATTTTCATGATTTCAAACTATATTATGTTATAAACCTGTGAGTACTCACCAACTATTTTTATAGTTGACGCTCGTTTTACATGCTTTTTCAGGAATCATCTAGTAAGAGGCACGTAGAGACACAACGCTTGTAGGAGCATTTTCATGTGTTGGCTCTTAAATACATTGTAATTTATTTTAAAAAATTGTTCAAACTAATTGTAAATTATAATGTTTTTTAATACTATGGTTGGTGTTGTCTTTTAACTTTTGATATGAAACACTTTGTACTGTCACGCCCCGTATTTCCATTTTAGCGGGGTGTGACATTATGCTAGTCAAGATTTAGGGTATGCATTGTACTTAGTTGTTACGTTGCCCAAATATCCTGTTAAATTAACCATAATTAGGATATATATCAGATAATTATGAGATCATAAATATAATTATCATATATATATATATATATATATATATATATATATAAAGATATGTATAGATGTATAGGAGTAATTATGATAAAGATAAAAGATTAAAAGATAAAGAAAAAGCCTAGGGTTAAGGCGTTTGTGAGTTGGTTATTCTTCCAAAAGCCTTGATTAAATTCTGCATGTCCCCAATACTTATAATCGTTAATCTTGCGAGAGCTAGGAAGTTATGTATAAATCTATACGAGACCATGAGAAACCCACCAATGATTCGTAGCTACAATCCCGACATGATACCTTCCATATAAGTTACTATTCGACGTCCGTCGATATGGTAATTAAAATACATTAGGATAGTTAGAAATCCTTAAAAGTTATCAATTAGGATTAAAAAAAGATAATCTTAATTAAATTACGTTAGGATCGTTAGATATCCTGAAATATAGTTATTTAAGATTAATAAAAGATAGAAGGCTAGGTAAATAAATAAAAAATGTTTTCACAAAAGAAAACTATTCTTAAATAAATTCAAAAATCAAAACTTGTGCACTCACCAACATTATGTTGAGTTTCAATATGCATTTATTCTAAGGAAGATGAGTGTGGAGGAGTGTCTCACTAGCAAGAAAGAGGTCTGCAAGGGAGCTATTGAAGTTTAGTATCATTTGTTTTTTAGGTGTTTGTGTGTGTCTCAAAAACAATGTAATCCTTCAAAAATCAATAATAAATAAATGTTTAAAGTATACGTTTGTTTTTTATTGTACCTGTTGTCGAGATCCAATTATCTCTATGTTGCACTACCCGGTGTTTCCACCAACGGTTGGGCAGGGTGTGACAGATTGGTATCAGTACCTCAGGTTATAGCGAACTAGTAATTCCTTAGGAATTACCACTATAGCCTAGGGAGTAAAAACTCTAAATTAGTAAAACCTAATAAAAGTATTAATAATAATAACTATGTGGATAAACTACTCTTGGTGAGGTGTCTAAACAGGAAAAACTTGTCGACAGGGTTGCTGAATTTCAGAACAACTATATGCGAAATTGGTCATGCCCTTCGACTTTTCCTAACTGGCCGATCCTTATAGTTTAAAACTACAAAAAAGATAGTAATAAATTACCCTAATCAAACATTAATCAAATACATACTTGTGTAAACTCTTATAAATACACCCTCATATCCAAAAATATTATCCATTCAACTCACAACTTAACATTTTAGGTCGAAAATGAATCCAAGGTTTAGTTAGTGCTGTGACCGACCAACAACTAGACCTAGAATATGCAACAAAGTTTTATTATGGTCCGAACGACACACACTCAAACCTGGATGCCATAGTTGACAATCTAAACGCTTAAGGATTTATGGATCGATAGTTCGCACGCCTAGTTTGGAAATTAGGACGAAGTGTACGACCAGAAAATGATTGGATTAATAGCACTAATCGACTCCCCCGAAGAGTTAAGTTGTATAGAGTGATACACTAAGAGAAGTAAAGGATTTACATCGTAAAGTTCTAAGTATCGATGTACAACTTACTACTTGGAGAGTTCTGTTTATAGCTCAAGGATGATGATATGTGCAACTCTTACCCAACAAACCCTTAGGAGAAAATTACAATAGATCTGGTACTATGTACTATATACGTATAATTCTATAATTATATGTATTGTGATTTTACTCTTATCCTTCATAAACATTTAACCCTTTTGGATGTCTTATGCGGGGCGGTCGAAGTAGGGATTATCATCAGGATCCAAGAAAGAAAATCTAGGATTGGTTTTCTCATCCTTCCCCATAGGGATATTAGGTGGTGGCGCACTCCCCAGTGACGAAGGAGGCAAAGTACGATCTGTGGATTACGAGGCCACCTACCCCCACCAATTTGGAGTTTACCTGTGATTAGGAGCCCTATGAGGATGATGAGCCACTGGAGGAGGATCCGCACGAAGAGCATGTAGGAGGACATCCATGTGATAGCTTGCCAACTCCCGACTCGTCATCCTATGGTGATGGAATTCTAGCTTCTTCTCTGATGACTTCCGAACCTTCCCTTTGGCCTCCGCTAATTGTAATTGTAATTAAGAAACTTTCACTGGATGATAAGCTTTGTTGTAGCGTTTCCAGGGCTGACTATGACATTTCGGAGTCCCTGTGCAAATTAGTAAAAATAGGCCCCGAAACATGATAAATGTTAAAATATAAGCGAAAACAATTTTAATTAATAATCTTGTATTGCAATGTAAGTTAAGATTTCATTCAAAATAATACAAAAAACTTGCTTTTACTAACAAAGTGTCATCCTTCTAATATTCATTTGAACAAAATCTTCATTAATTTTATCCCAAAAAGATATTTCTCAATTGCCATCAAAACCAATCCATTAAGTTGTTTTTATGTCATTGTGGATCTTAACTAAGACTTCATTATCTTTAATTTGGAAAAACTTCTTTCTACATATACAACAGTAATGAGAATAGTAAATAAAAGTCTATATGTAATAGATGTATTAGGAAAATAGTCAACATGTTTCAAAATTTTTAGAACATCAATTGTTGTCATATTTTCCTTAGGTAAAAGATGTAGAAGTAATTTTAATTCAACATATAAATTATTTCCATCACTAGCTGATTGTTCATCTTGCTTAAGTGAAGTTTGGAGAGACTTATAACTTTAATCTTATATTATCTAATGAAAGTAATTTTTCAAAATTAAATAAAAAACAAACACATTATCATATTATTGACATGGTTCAATCCTTGTAGTTAGAGAAGAAAACGCTTGATCGATAATTACAGGAAATATTTAACCCTAAAAGGCTTTTGTACGGATTATGAAACACTATATGACGTATAGTTTGAAATCTCATCAAAATGTATTTTCCTCTAATTTCACATCTTTGAGGAAATATTGGTTCAACGTCCATATCAAAGGCAAGTTCTTTTATAATTTGTATTGTATGTAAAAAACCAATTTCGTCTATATTCCTTTAAAAAAGAAATAAGCCCCTTTATTTTTTTTTCATAGTAATAGTAACATCAATAAGTGTATATGTTTTGATTGCAATGTTTGCTAACGAAATTAATAGTATTGAACATTTCATTCAAATTACTAGAGCCATTATAAATTCATAATTACCAAGTTCATTTTATGTCAATGATTTAACTTAACTTTTTCTTTATTGGATCATTATCATTTTCCGCAACTTAAAATAATGCTTCCTGAATATCTAAAATTTCAAATCGTATAGCTTTTACACTATCGACACGAATTTCCCAACGAGTGGATTAAAGATATATAAAAGTTAATCCTTTCACATTATCTTTGAAATTTCCCATATTTTAGTGGAATCTGCAAAAATTGTATTCAGACGGATCCAAAAAATTGTTTAGATTTACCACAATTATTAGCCATACCACAGGGTCCAAATATTGAGTTTCTTTTTTTTCCAATTTGTAGATTTTTTATTATAATAATGAACTGTTTCCAAACAAATGCAATGTATCAAAATAGTATTCAACTAGGTGTAAGACCCATGGATTACATGAGTTTATTTTAATGAAAAAAATATTAAACGCTAAACATTTGACAAGTTTGAATTTATAAGAAAAAAAATAGAAAAATATTGAATTATTAAAATTAAATTGTTTGTTTTTCTTTTAAATTAAACAAATAAACAAAGAAAACTAATGAAACTTTAATTTAGAAAATTTGAAATTAGAAGGAAATCAATTAATGAAATTGATATGCATTTATTATTGCAATTATTACATTTAATATTATGTGGAAATTAATAAAATTAAAAAACAACAAAATGTCATGTGGAAAAAAATTAATTGAAAATAACCACAAAATGACATGTGACCAAATCAATGAGACTGTAATATGTGGCAAAAAGTTATTTATTTAGTAGAGATGATTAAGCTGGGGAGCAATCTTGACAACAAAAGCAACATATTACATAAGGTAACTATTTTAACTTAGGGTTTACAAGGAATTACCATTAACTTGCAACAAAATCAATAGATTATCTAAGGTAACCTAGGTAGATTACAACAACACTGAGGTGGTGGTATTCCTTTACAATAGCCATGGAAAGTGTTTTTATCAGTACAACACATAGAAGTTGATCGGTTGTTGGCACGACAAAGCCTAGAGCATTCTGCGCTGTCTTTACATGGTCCAACACACATTCTATAAGTTGCATCATATGCATTTAATCAATACATAAATTTGTCCTTATAACATTTTTTCCTTGAGCTAGAGTGTTGTATCAATAAATGAAAAATGAAAGAAATTTTTCTTACGAGGATATGCATTAGTTGTTGAGGAACTAGTTACCAAGGAACTGACTGACCTTTTCGAGTATAGCATCGGTAGTTGAGACGTAGGGGCAGCTAAAATTAGAACCGATGTCATGCAGAAAAATGTCACCACAAAAAGTATCATGTAGAGTGTTTTTTTCACTGTAATAGCCATTGAATACCTTGATTTATTATAGTTTTTGATTTAAGTGTATATAATATTAGAAAGGATAACCCTTATATATAGAGCAATCTGCATGTGCCATAGAAACCACTTTCACACACGGTTTTTTCTTAGGACTATTGGCACATGTTCCTTAACGAGTATAATTAGCATATATAATATCGAATATTTGTTACTACTTTTCTCATATATTCTTCACTTTATGTACTAGGCATAATCACTTCCCCAATATCCAAGTGTGAGTACATAATATAATTAACATATATGATATATAACATGTTTTGACTGTATCATACATCAAGCTTTGATGGTTTCTGAATTACTTAGATTTGTAATTGGCTATAGGAGATGGATTTTATCGAATACTAAATATTGGTTAGGCCTGACAATCGTGTCGTGTTCGGGTTTGCGTGTCGCGGGTTGGCGGGTCAAACTATGCCAACCCAAACACGACCCATTTAAATATACAGGTCACGGGTTGGCGAGTTTGGAACATAAACCCATATATGACCCGCCAACCCATTTATTTATACGGGTTCACAGGTTTGCGGGTTCCTGGGTCAGCTTTGGGTTCGTGGGTCAGATTCCATAAATAAAATTGACAATTAAACATGAATAAATTCTTGATGGTTGATGCAAACATATCCGAATTTTAGACACTTAAGTCTTAAACATCCAAATGAAAATTAAAAACATTCATAGAAACATGTTCAAACTAAACATTAATACAAACATAGATAATTCAATGCTAAAGTAATAGCCACAATTCCCATTTTTTTCTCCCAAAAAACAAAGTAAATTCTCCAACACCATTTCGATACCTGATTTCGATCACAGAGTAACAGAGGGGAGAGTGGGACTGTGAGAGACCGGGAGACTGGAAGTCTGGAAAAGGGAGATACGCTCATACGCGATTTGATTTTGAGATTATTATCTAGGGAAAATGGGCAAAATAGTTACAGACTTAGCCTTACAGGTTACGACTTATGACCTTAGGCCATCCACCACGAGTCAAAATGTCAAAACAGTCAAATGGTCTATGAGTCAATGTTAAAACTTGATACATAAATACATTTAAAAATAAAATAATTTTTTTTATTAAAAATATAAACGGGTTGGTGGGTCAACCCGTTTATTTCTTGAGAAACTCATATATGACCCGTTTAATAAACGGGTTGGCGGGTTGGCGGGTTGAAAAACTCAACTCAAACCCATTTATTTCGTGTCGTGTCGTGGGTTGTCTAGAGAATTGTCAGCCCTAATATTGGTTAACAATATTCAGTAACAAGAAGTATATATTTACTTTTTCTTAAGCCTAAAATATGAATATTATAAGCCTCACAATAGGAGCCTAGTTGCAAGGTTCTAAATAACGTGAGGCATGACTTGGCGGCAATGTAAAAGTTAATCCATGACAAGCCTTGGCGAGCCATGACGTTTTTCAAGGTGTGACTATTTTATATATATTAAAAGAGTTAAATCATATAATTATTGATTTTTATCAAGTCTATCAAGTTTTTAGAAGTGTTATATCAGCATTTAATATAAAAAGTTAACAAAAACCCAATTATTTTAGGCCCGATAAAAAATAAAAATAAAAATAAAAACAAATAAAACTCACGCCTTGAAAAAACTCGCGTTATATCCCGATAAGGCGCGCCTTGACACGTTATTTGGGCGCCACGCATAACAAACCTGCCTTGGTCGTTTTCGTAACGACTACACCACGCCTCGCGCCATGGCACGCCTTAAGGCACGTCATGGTGCGTTTTTTAGAACCATGCCTAGTTGTTTAGGTACAAAATTTTACAAGTAGGATCCAATAAAACTCTAGAATGTCGTAAATACTGCTAGTGTTCCACGACTGATCTCCCATGTAGGCATTGTGAAGGGTTTATGTGCCCCTGTCGAGATGATACAGTTTATCATTATCTTCATTGCAAAATTACTTATAGAATTATTATTTAATACACACTGAAATATGTGTATGATTGTTCTAAAATATAACTAGATTATGACCCGCGTAAAATGCGGGGAAACATATAAAAAAGTACATATAAAGGTTTTAAAAAGTATAAAAAAAGATAAGTAACAGAAACAGACTTAGCATTATTGGTAACATTGAAATGTCTGAAAAAAAAAACAACGAAACACTTCAATATTTATAATCGTTGAAGGACCTCTTTATAGACATAACTTTTTGTTTTATTAGTTGGATGACCTTCCTCGTCATATATGAGTACCTTCAATCTTTTTTCACTTGTGACGCGAGAAACAAAAAACATATAACTGACAATGAGTGAAGAGATGCCTACGCAAGTATAATCCAACATTTGATAATTATTGTCATTGACTTTTGTTAATGGCCATAACAAAGTAAACAACTATGGGGAATTGGCTTCGCTGAAAAAAGAATGAGATTCTTTTATTAGATGGAGTTAACTTCATGCAAGGTATATAAGTAGTCTCGTTGAAGAATCTAGCATATATGATTCAGGCTTCAATGACGTGTCTTCCAAGTCTAACAGTCTGTAATCTAGTACCACTGCATAGTCCTTTGGTTTGGTCGATATTACGAAGTAACATGACTGGAACACCTATTTTTAGTGTAAGTTTATGGTTGGAAATTCTAGATGTCTTAAAACCATTCAATACTACTGAAGAGTAGATTGCTTCCTCAAAAAAAATTTGGTACCTCTGTCTCACGTAAAGAATTTGAACTCATATATGTTTTCCCTTCATCTTTCATCAATCCTAAAATGTTTTCAAAGCATAGATAAATGGTGGATACAAATGAATGAATATGGTTACCTGTAGAGTGGACGACATGTCTTCTGGAAATTCAACTTTAGCTTCACCATCATTAGAACCACCAGTATTACCTTCACCAATTTTAAGAATCCACTAATTAAATGTTTTTGTCTCATCCAAATCATTAATTAGGCAACCAAACTAAAGCCTCATGTTTACGGTTAACGTAAAATTGTACATTCACACCATATTTGGATGAATATGATGCCATCACAATATCCGAATGATTACCTCTTTGTATTGCTGGAAGAATTTGTCTAAAGTCACCTCCAAATAAAATAGTCTTGCCTCCAAATGATTGTGGAAGATAAATAGCTATAGAGCAATGATATCCTCTTTGTCGAACATATTTGATGTATAGACTTCACTGTCATTGAACTGTTCGTCGGAGTTCTCTAATACTTTTGTATTAGACGAGAAACCGATTCTGGGAGATAAATACCTACATTTGGAATTGTTTGTTCCTGAGCTTTATTGATTGTCATTGTAAAACATAATCAAATTAGAAACTGTTTTCTTATCAACTTGAATGGGAACATGTCATCTTCATGCGGACATAGAGGAATCATTAGACCAAATCTCTAGAATAGTTTATTTCGACTATTAGTGATGCAACGATACCAAATAGTTTCTTTCGATGATTCGTTTCAGACATTTATTTATGGCTTTAAGGTTTATAGGGAGGGTGTGTTGCAATAAATATTAGCAAATTGGTTAAAAAATTAAACTTATTTATAAATGCAAATTTGTATATGTTCTTAGCGGGAACATGCTATACTTTAAAGAACACGAAATATATTGTTCTTCTATCATCTCCCATTCATATATAAGTATACATTAATCCTAAACAAAATAAATAGTTATTTTGTCAAAATATCTGTTTAAAAACTAAAATAATATGTGAACTTTATTTTAAAACAAGTTGATGCTTGTACTCTTTTTCTTAATATGATTTTCATATATGAAAAACATAAACCATGATTACTTTTATAATTTGACAAATTAAAACATGATTACTTTTATATATTTAGACAAAACTTTCGTATAACAAAAATTAATCGTTTAAAGATCATAATGAAATAAAGAATCGATTGATTGGTTGTTATTGAAGGGTCCAGTTAGTGGTTTGGTCTAGGCTTTCATTGTAATAGTTCTTTTGAGTCTTTAATGTGGTTTAGTAGGTTGTTAGTGAGTTTATGGCCTTGTAATGAGTTTATGACCGTAAGCCTGTTTACGGCCGCAAACCCAGTTTCCGGCCCAAGTTCCCTATATATAGAGGTGTTGTAGGTCATTATTGGTTGTTGATGCCACATAGCTCACGGCTAAAGTATATCGAGTTGTACCAGACGTTTTTCAGTAATAAACGTGTGCAAGCTTGATTTCTTTTCTTCTTCTACTCATATTCTAGTTTCTTTTGATTGCTTGATTGCTTGATCATTGGTAAAGATCCGTTTTAGGACCTTACAATTGGTATCAGAGCAAAACCGGTGTCAAAGCATCATTCAATCGAGTTTTCGGCCATTTAAACTCATATTCTTCACTGTTCGAGATTGGGTTTGGTATTTTCACTGCTAAAAGGGATCGAATCTACTCCAAAATCGTGTTTTTTAGAACTTCTGGGAGTTTAGTGCCAAGAGATTACGGCCGTAAACTCAGTTTACAGCCGTAAACTCAAGAACATTCAAAGACCATAAACTGTGTTATTGGACCGTAAATAAAGCATCTTCAATAACCGTAAACTAAGCTTCAAAAATCGTAAACACAAGACCATAATCACTCAGACCGTAAACATCCGACCGTAAACTCAGTTTACGGCCGTAAACTACCTGACCGGAAACTCAATTCTGACATTTTTCTGATTTTAACTTTAAGTTTTAAAATAATCAATGGATTCTCAAAGTCAAACACATCATCATGAACTGGATACTGTCATGGGCACAACCACACGTATTCCGAGGTTGCTATCTGTAGATGGTTTTCCTGAATGGAAATACTGGATTGAGAAGTATATTAAAATGAAAGACTTCAGAGTTTGGAGAAGCATCATCAAGGGTCATGTCCGAATTACTATGACGGTTGCAGGACAACTGATTGACAAAGCAGTTGAGAACTATACAGACAACGATTTTGAGAAAGTTGAAGAACAGGAAAGGCCTTTGGCCACTCTGACCATGGCTTTATCTCCTGATATAGCTCAAGGTTTCAGAGA